CAGGTCGGCTTTGCTGCCATTGCCAGGACAGGCCTCGCGCTGGAGAGCGGGCGCTATCGGGGCAGCTGTTACAGCCGCCTCCTTGCACGAGGCCATGCAGAGATAGGGGCTGAGATGGGGCTTCTTTTTCTTTTTTTCTTTCCTTTTTCTCTTAAGCTTATACTTTTTAACAGTTTCACTTCATTAAAGCCTGCTGCTTTCTCACCTCTAATGGACTAGTGAGCTTAGCTGAAAGAAATTCATGCAGAAGAAATCATCCTTACTCAAAACACTGTTTAATTAAAAAAATTTTATTTCACACTTTTATACAAATATCCACAGGTAATTTCTAATCATGGAATGAAGTAGCATTGCTAGCTCGTATAAAAATGTTTTGAGACAAAAGCATACCAGTGATAAATGTTCAAAATGAAAGTATACCAGTGATAGGACTTACTTTTCAAAAACTTCCAGCTTAACACTGTTGAGATATTCCTGTTCCTACAGCCACAATTAAGGGGGCAGGGTGGGAAAGCCAGTGCTTTTAAATCAAAGGCTACAGCAGTTTTTCAAGCTTCTTAGCACCTCATTTGGTTTCCAACACAGATGAGCGTTTCAGCAAGTAAACTAGAATTTTTAAGGGCCAAAAAGTGGATGACAGCTGTGTATGCATGTAAGTGTTCAAAGCAGTCAGGGTCACTAAGTCAGACTGCGTTTATACATTGGGAAGAAGGGTCTAATACATGAATGTACTTTCTGTAATAGGCATGTTTGAAGTCGAGAATACAAATAAAGACACCTGACAAATGCCCTCTTAGCAGGTTTCTACCCTGGGAGGGAAGAAGTACAAAGAGATTTTTGCATAGTTGAAATTACTAGCAATTAGCGTGCATACTTTGAGTAGAATTTTGGAATAACAATTGTGAGCTAATTTTTCATTCTTAAATAGTACTAACACTTTAGAACATGGGTAAAAAAAGGTAAACTCTTTAAATAGTTATGTATTTAAATCACTTATGCTACAATAATTAGATTACTCATAAACACAACACTGTGGCTCTATTCTTATCAACATTCAGGTATTCAAGACGGTTCAGTAGTCTCAGAGAGGATCGTCCAGATCCCCGTAATTAAGGTAAGTTAGGCCTTTTCAGCCCCCTTCAAGTGCTATATAACAGATGCAGTAGTCAACACTTTTCTCCAAACAGAAAATCCTTGTGAAGCCATTTCAGAAAACCTGTCGCTCCTCTTGCGGCAAGTATAAAATTCCATTTAAAACCGTATTTCTGCTTGGTGGCCAAATCATTAAATATTATGAAGTAATATACAAATCATATTACAAGACCTGGTAGTTGCTATTACATAGAATAAGTATCAGGAAATAAGCCCCCACGTACATTACTGGAATATTTACGCTTTTAGAGAGCATTGGCACCTGTAGTGATTTATTAAATTGCTGTGAAAGCTTCAGGTCTTGTAATCTGAAGTTCATAAACACAGTTAGTCTGAAGGTTCAGTTAAGTCTTTGGCCTAATGGTTACTCAAAGACAATGATTTATAACAAAATAAATACAAAAATGACTAAAAGATATATACAAAAAGTACATCTAATATTCAAGCCTCTCTTTAAAAAAAACCTGTGTATATTTGGTGTGAGCAAGATTCACGCAATCTGATCTTAAAAACTGAGCAACATGACCTATTGCACATGTAATTTAAGACAATGCTGTTGTTAAGCCCTAACTACTGCAGCAGGCAAAGGTTATGACTAAAGCAGACTTGCAGCTCTTCAGATTTCACTTGAACAAAGTATGTGAAGGCCACTGTTGTGTGCACTGAGGGAAGAATGGAGACCCTGTCTTGACATTAACCACGCACTCCTTGCACACCAGGAATGTTAGGATCATAGGAAAAGGTCTGCCATGATGGATGTGCACATTGCAGAAAAGACCCAAATCAAAACCGCATCTTCTAAAGTGAGTGTTAGATTTGAAGGGAAAAAGAGGCAGTCTGGAAATTAAATAATGCTAATAAAGTCTGTTGAAGCTATTTTAACTGTGCAAACAAAAGCCTCAATGTAAGTAGTAATATCTACAATCAAACAGTGAATGTCCATAGTGTACAAAGGTCCAACTCTATCAGTATTCCATTAATGAAGACAACTAGCTGAACTGTGTGGAGAGAAAAAACTTTTCCTTAAGAATAACTTTCATTCTCATTCCATTTTGTGATCCACTGTTTTGTTTCAAGATCTTTGCATTTCCCATCTTTGATCTGTCGCTCTTCCTTCCGAATTCTTACAGCATGATACCGGGGAACACTGTCATCGTACCTAGAGCGCTGGAAGAACCCGCACTGGCGCAGAGGAGAAAAACAAGAATTTAGGTTTAAGTTGCTGCCCAAATACTACAGTTAAAGAGACAGTGCATTCCTCCTCCGCGCAGACAGACAGGTAACAAAATTGAAAAGAAAAAGATCTTGGGCAAAAACATAGTGTGCTTAGCTATGAATTCTTGAGGGTCTAAGTTCCAGCAGCAAGCAATGGCAGACAAACCGCACAGTCCAACATTTCAGCAGTCTGAGAGCTTAACAAATTCCTTCCAGTAACTTTCTAAATTTGTTTTACAAGTCTTTGTATTTAAGAAAGATATTTGCTCAACTATTTAATAGTTGAGACTATTTAATGCTGCATAGATGTGAAAAAGGTAACGCTCGAGGAAAGTGTCTCTCCCGATGTAAAGGTAGGTGTGTACGCCGCTATCCTTCTACAAGGGACATGATTTCTATTTTAAAACTTAACAGAAAGATTTCAAGGGCCTTCAAGAAAAATTACACTAGGGCCATGCTTTCCACTGTAGACATCTTGGCTTAACTACACGTGTGGTATTAAAATGTAAGTCTTGCTTAGTTTTCTGTGCAGTAAAAAACAGGCAGGGCTTAACATTTACTGTAATTTACCATGACAACACAAGACTCCCTAGATGAAGTCTAGTTCATCTTATTTCTGCCCTGCAGTGTTTTATTTTTTAATTTTCTCCCCCCACCCCGCCTCGCCAAAGACAATGTAAAAACTGATCCTATTCATTTAAGGACGGACTGAGGTTATTTTTCAAAATCAAATGGATTTCTGGTGCAACCAATAATCATCTTCGCAGCAATATGGCCAAAGTAGATACTCAACTTTATGTGTTTGCGGTCTATGAGGTTGAGGTTAAGTGCAGGACAGACATCTGTCCTTAGCTATTACTTGCACACAAAATTAAACTGTCAGGGTTTGTTCATAAACTTTGGGTGGTGATTTTGGTGAGCGAGGGTTCATTTTACATTAAATTTCTAAAACTTGCATAGACCTGAATTTTAAAAAAAAGAAGGGAAAGATCAAATCTTTAGCCATCTCCACCCTTCCATTATGCACGACGCTGACAGATTTTAGTGACAAATTTCTCCCCACCCACTCATCCCAAGCCCCACTAGTTAATATACATGCACTTATTGTCTTAAGTTGTGTGTAAAGGTTGCTAGAAGCATAAATCATCATGCACCAAGTAGCTTCAGCAGAAAAAGGATGTGCCCAGGACAGTATACCTTAGAACTGAAGGGATAAAAGACTCTCCCCAGCAATTATATTCTCACTACGAAAATTGCTCTCATTATGTGTAATGTACTTTTTAGCATGCAATAAATGTTAATAAAGCAAATTTATCTTTTTGTCTTGTTTAAAGTCTTAACTTTAAAACTTAACCCTCTGAAGAGTGTTGATCTCAAAAGTTTAAAACGCATACTGTTAAAGTATCAGTGTAAAAATAAAAAAGTAAAAACCATTGCAGCAGATCAAGATGTCTTTAAAGAAATAAACAAAAAACTTTTCAGACCGAGGTAAACATCTCTTTGTTCACGTGCACCAAAAGCTGAAAATCTGTCAACAGAATGAGTAAGCAAGTACTGATAGCTTGAAATCCAGCAGTTAATATATGCAGCAAAAGCTCAGTTAGCCACCGCAACCACAGCATTTGCCACAGCTAGAAATGAAAAGATACTGGTCGATTACCAATTACAGAAGTAGATCAATACTATGCATCAGAAGTAAGCCTCTCTTTATCAGATGGCTGAGCATGGATCTCAGCCTTGTGATATGTGGCATCATAATGATCTTTCTTATTTCTCTTGAAGAAACCACACTACAAGGAAGCAAGGTATTTAGTCAATTTTTGTGGCTGGAAAAGTCAAACCTGTTAAAACTAACTTAAATTAACATTATGAACTGTGTTCCTGACATCCCTTTCACAGGTTTATTGCCAAAAAAAACCAAAAAGGAAACACACACACAAGAAAAATCACAGCTGCTTCTAAACTAGAGAACTAATTTAATCTATAAAATCATAGAATAGCCTGAGATTAAGAATTTACCTTAGGGTTTTCTTTTTGATAGATCTGTGTATTTTTTAATGTTTTTTGTTTGTTTTTACAATGAAGTATGTTCATAGCAACTAAGGCTCTAAAGAGTAGTAAGAAATCTGTACAGAAATCAAATCAGTTCATGCACTAGTGCACAAGGTAGCTGAATTACAAGATACACAAGCTTCTTGCTTGGGCCTGTACTATTGAAATGGCAAAATGTAAGTTAAATCTCTTGAGAGAAATGCTCAATTGTACCCAATCATATAACTGGCTCTGCAGCACCATCTTTGTTCTTCATAGGATGGCTCAACATTTGTCACCAAAACGTTCTACATTTGTGCATATCTACATGCAATAAAAAACTTAGTGTCATGAAGGTGTTATTCTGTGTAATTCATCAGGGAGAGCTGCAAACAGGAGCTGGGCAGTTTTTGAAAAGGAAAGAAGCTGAGATTATTCTGTAAGAAGTGACCTGCAGCAAGTAGTAGCTCCCCAGTGAAGCCAATTGCAGCAGCTTCTCCACAAGAGAGTAAGTGACAGTCAGACAGGAGATGCCTCTTCACCTCTTAACAACCTGCACTCTGCTATTCTCTAGCAACAAACACAAACTGCCAATGTGGATTAAGGGGCAAGAGAATCAACTTCTTCTGCCTGGGACCAAAATTAGTTATAGAAAATGTCAAAGCTTTTAAGAAAAATAGCTAAGAAAATAGCTGCAAATTGTTATCCTTGCTTTTTAAGCATTTATTGGCTCCCTTAAGGTTTTTAAGAAAACAAGCCAATACTAAGGAATTTAGCCAGCATATTAATCCATGTGTTATTTCTGTACCTTTTGAGGTACAGAGCAGTTTTATGCTGTTTCTTATATGATGAGAAGTTAACTGCAAAGCTACTCATCTGTAGATAGGTCACAACACAAAAACAGCTTTACATCTAATTGCAGACACCCTAAGTAGCTGTATCCATATCTAAGTAACTACAGGCTCTGTGAACTTGTCTAAGTTTCGACTAGAACTCAAAACATTTCCTTTTGAAGATCTGGAAACAGAAAAATTGCATGATACAAGAGTAACATGTGTTCCCATATGATCATTTTCATTCCAAATGTTACAAAATTGAAAAAGATAGCATAATTTTTGCACAATTCTGCTTTTTGTTTCATGTCTCAACTACAAAATCTTAGACCAGTTGGTTAATTAGTTTCCTATCTTGTCATTTTTAAATTAAGAAATGTGAAATCTAAACCAAGGTAAATAGAAACTTACCTTCCACAGTAAGAATACCAACAGTGCAAGCATCAGTATTCCAGCAAGAATTGCCACTAAGATGATCCACCAAGGCACCCCTGTATAAAGTGCTACTGTTTTGGCAGGGAAGACAGTAACACGCACCTAAAGAAAACATGTGAAGATGATGGTAAGAGTATTTCAAAAGCATCTGTGTTTATCTAATCCAAATCAGCAACTTTCTAGGGAAGATTTATCACATGTGAGCACTCTAGTTAATTCTTTCCATCCGATTAAAGGTGTAAAGAATCAATAATTCAAAGTGCAGTTAAAGATGTAACCTATAGCTCCATTTGTTTTAAAATGTTTCATTTTCTCCAGTCTTTTCAGATAAGCTGGGAACATGATCATCACAATTGTACGTAGTTCGTGTTAGATGCTGAGCCTACCTGAGCAACTTCATTTGTGAGTTTAACATTCTTAGCTGCAGCAGGAACACTGATTGAAGCCCTAACAAGAATGTCTAGATAGTTCATTTTGGAGTATTCCTGTTTCAAAAAAAAAAAAAAAAAAAAAAACACAGGCATATCAGAGACAGAACAGGGAAGAACTATCATTTCTCAAAAAGAGCAGGTAAACAAACTTACTTCTAAGAAAGTACTGTTCCACAACCTGGAACGCAGCACAATAGATGCCTTGCTGTCCAAACCATTCAGGGGGCACTTGATATCCACACAGCGCGCATTCACATTGCAGTCCTGCAATTACAGATTTTTTACAAAACTACTTCCTGGCAACTTGACTAGAAAATCCCTAGGGTTTGAGGTGTTTAATACATTGGATGACATGCATCTTCTTTATGTACAAAAACCAATTCTTCTTGGATTTAAAGCACCAGGAAAATGTGATGATGATACTTTAGTTTAATGTAGGTAACTATACGGAAATTCTTCCCTATTCTCTTTCATCGGAAGATAATATAAAATGGATCCAATCTCAAACAGTATTTGGGATTCGAGATGGAAACAAAACAGAAAAGGACACCTTATTGCACCCTGAGAAACTGGCAAAAGCTCTACGAGGAGTGTGATGTGCTTACCAGAGTCTTGTATTTTCGTTCTGAGAACAAAGAAAATGTTTTGCTGTCTAAAATCTGTTTCTCTGCAACCTCACGTTTCCTCCTTGAGTTATGGGATTCCTCAAAAAAAAAAAAGTTTGATGTTAGAATATTTTAGTAGTATAGCTCCAGTATTTCTTAATTAATTCTGGAGAAAAGCACTTAGGCTCTACTATTGCATGCTGGGGTACTTTAATGTACTAGTTCATCAACATGAGAAGATTGGGTAACATACCGTAACACGCAAATAATTGATCTCATTCTGGGGTTGACAGGACACTTTTTCCAAGCCTTTGGAATCTATTTTCATCAAGTAAAGCAGCCATTTGCCGTTACTAATTTCTTTTGGCCACTGGATGTCCAGAGAAGCTGTGCCAAATGTTTTAAGTGGTCGACCCAAGTTAGTTACCTGTTGAAACAAACATTCTTTAAACTGTGAAATCTTTTTTAAAGGGATTTTCTTTTCGAAAAGAATGGTTCTTGACTTTGGCAAGTCTTAAGCATTTGGCTAACAGGAAATTTAAAAACCATTGAAAGACAATCTACATACAGCATAAAGACAAACCATATACTAAAAGTAGCATATTTACATAGCACCTAAGATACAGCAGTTCAACACATAAAGACTAAAATTCCACAACAAGTATGATAAGACATAGATTTCTAAAAATCAATCTTCATAGGAAACAACAGCATCAACTCTTTAGAGTTAACAAATCATTCAGTTGCAAAACTGATAGGAATTTCAACTTCCACAGGAACTCTGACACAGTGTACTTTCTGAAGTGCTCTGGTAGTTTGGAAACTGTTTCACAATCTGGTTTTGCTTTCTTTTTCCTTTTTTTTCTTTTTTTTTTTTTCTTTTTCATTACTGCTTTTGACAGCAAGTTCAAGACAGATATTCTAACTGCTTCTACATTATCTTAAATCCTTTAAATCCTTTCTAACTTAGTCTAAGTATTCATATACATAAAGAGAGATATTCAGTGATGATTACTGATATTCATATTCACTGATTCAAGGCAGCTCTTGACATGAATCTCAGTTACTCACTCTGAAGTCATACTCTATGAGGCTTCCAATGTTGTCCTCAGACTTCATAGCGCTCTCGCCACGGATGCTGCCTCCAAAGTAGACCTGCGAGGGGTTGGCAACGCTGGCCGGTCGCAGCGGGAGAGAGGCAGAGGAGAATTGGACTTGAATGAAGGCTGCAGGAAAGGTGCTTTTCCCTGCTGCCTCTCCCCACAACACCCTCATTCTTTATGCTGTGAGCACTTACCCAGTGAGTGATAAAAGCAGTTCAATAACCACTTTAGCACTAGCAGTAATTGTAGTCAAATTAACTTGAGTGCTTGTTCTACAATGAAAAGGAAACAATGCTGTTTAATTTTACAATTTCAGCAGTTTTATATTACTGTGAAATTGCCCTTATGAACCAACCAAATTAATTCAAAATGTTTTAGAAGTGTTTATAAAAACTCTACAGGCATGCACATGCATGGACCCCCACCATCATCCCCCACACACACCCGCCCCCTAAAATTTCTTACGTTTCCAACTTCAGATTAATGTCCAAGTCTGTGGTATCAACGTTAACTTTAGAGGTACTTAGGATGAGATAAAAGGTTACCTAAACAAGAAAGAACATCCATGCAATATGTAAATGTTGTATAGAATGTATTACCATATACAATATTATAGAAGTACACCATCATGTTCAAATGTTAACAAAGACAGATCCGAATCAAAGTGCCAGATGTGACACACATGAAATCTGGAAGAGTGCAGCAAGGAATCAGATTTTTTAACTTGAGTAAAATAGACACAACTTACGTTGGAATTTCTCTTGAAAGGATTTCCAAGTTCACACTCTGCTTGAGAGCCATTTTGGTTAGCACCACAGGTTAGCTGCTTTTCCTGAATTAATGGAACACATTTAAAAGTGAAAACAGGCTAAATATATTTTAAATTTTGAGTATATTTTCTCTTAAAAATACTTACAGGATAACCCTTCATCTCCCTGAATGCAGAGTAGGTCAGACTATCTGGAAAAGTTGCAATTAGTTTAGCTTCATATGCATCTTCACCATCTTTCTGTGGATTTTTTGCATCGGATGGATTATTTGTCACTGTTATTTCCAGAGCAATATCTTTCTGATCTTTTAGAACAAGCACTGGCATGTCATTTTCACTACAGAAAGAGAATATACATATTTTTGTGCATTAGGAAAACAAAAACGTATCAAAATTTGCTTCTTACTGAGATATACCCAAACAGAGTTCACATTCCTATTACTGTAAGATCTTAAACATAGAAATGGTCTTTTTTTTTTTTTACTACAGCATTATTTCACTGCAACAATGGCCAGCAGTTAACAGCTTAAGATTTACTAACCCACCCCTCAAGCAGTCAATAGTCTGTAGTATTCATGAACTAGCATTTGCATCTGTGTCATCATGTTTAATAATGATGAATCCTCTCTGACACATCTATTGCCCCCATTATACGTGGTTTTGGCTTCCAGGACAGACTGTGGTACGTACTGCTCCAGGCTAACTGTTCATGGTAAGTAAACATACGTGGGTTTGGTTTATCCCTCCTTTCTAACTTTGCTGGTCTTCCCAGAAGGAAAGATGAGATAGGCTTTGGGTGTGTGTTTATAGGGAAACAATTTCTCTGTTCACCTCTCTAACTGCTTTTCTAAAGCTACTGGACTAAATCAAGTCATGCAGTTCTTTGGTACAATATTTAGCATAATCTTTTGTCCTATTTGTGATCAAATTTCATCTCAAAAGTAGTTAACAATAGCAGAGGCAATAAATCATTGCAAAGTTGTTTAGAATCTGAACTCTCTAGTGATTAGAAATTTTAATTTTTAGCCTAAAACCACATGGTTATGGTCTCTTTGTACCCATATGCTACTGTACCACCAAGTTTCCTTCAACAGGCTGACCCGCGCTCTCGTGTGTTTGTGATCTGTCCCCTGACGGATCAGGCCTCCTGCAGCTAGGCTAACACATCCAAGCTTTTCTAGGAGAGAATTTTGTTACTGTCTTAAAGTCATCTTAACCTTGAATTTTAGCAATGCAACAATCAAGGCCTACATTGGTAAATAGGTAAATCTGTCTTCATTTCCTTCTCTAGTACAAAATCGGTACTGAAGTTTTAGATTGCTGTGACATTCATTGTCTTCTCCACATCCTTCCTTCAAGAACTCCACCTAAAAACAAACAAAGCACTCTTAATACATGCCATATGATACTACCTTAAAAGAAGGTTGCTAATGTGCACTGCATAAAGCAACTACATGGAGCTCACAGTTACATTTGTGGCAAAACAAATAAATAAATAATTTTTTTTTAAAAAATAAAAAACTAAAAGCCATTAGCCTGACTCCACTTCTGGCCTAAGGAGTCAGGAGAGATTTTCCGTGTGAGACAGACACTACTGCTAGTAAATGAAAACCACAGCCATGATTAAAATGCAAAGTTAGGTAAAACTTGGTGGTTTGTCCTTCTGTGTGAGAAGTACACTCTGCGGAGGCAACCGGAGTAATAAAGGACCAAGTTCATAACATTTTACAAAAAAAAATACAAACTTATAGTCCTAAGTCCAGTGCCACCCCAATTACTTCCTTTGATCATAATTTAGTTTTCTATACTCTCTAAAATTTAGAAACCCCATAAAGTACTTATTTCTTGGAAACGTGCTCTATATGCTCTAAGGAAAAGCTTACTTTTGTGGTCTTTGTTTCCGATTCATCTGAGTTCAGAATTGGCATAAGATCCGGAAGGGCTCCTTCTTTCCTTACGGATGGTGAGCTAGACTCCAGGCCAGCAATTTTCACACCAACCGATACAGGAATGGGACGTAGCTTATCTTTAATTTTTTCCTGCCAAAATATTTCAAATGGCATTGTTAGTGCACAGTGTAGAGAAGAAGAAAAATCCAACACACAGAATGTCTGTTCTAGCTTTTCACACATTCTGTAATGCGTTGTGAAGCTAAATCTCTCCTGATATATTTTGCAACATTAAAACTATTCTCTATAGGGAATTCTCTAACAACACACAAGAACAGAAGGATCTTGGAACTACTGCCTTTTTTTTTCTAGCTTCCTGGTTTGATATCTCTCACAGAAGAATTACTAATAACAACAGAAAGTAACTCAAGCAGGAGAAATGCACATTACAGCAGTAAAATTACACAATTCCTCCCTATTCCTTAGAGCCAGGCTTTTTATTTCCTGTAGCCATAAGGAATACTGGAGGATAATAGAGAATTTCACCAGCTTTTGGAGCAATGTCACCTTTCAGGGACAGCACAGCAACAAGCCACAAAGCATGTGTAAAGCTTTCTTGTCTTGTCCATTCATCCCCTCCAAAGGCTGTGTGTGAAAACTCCTTTCCTAGCCACTCACACCATTAAATTCTACATCATCTACTTCCATGTCTTCCAAGAGCTCTCCAATTTTGGCATTAATTTCCTCTCCATTCTTCTAAATTAGGTCAGCTCTTTTGACCTGCAGGGTACACAGCAGTAACTGAAACTTTTATTCATGCTTTATAAGAAAAGCTAAGGAAGGAAGCAACATGTGTGCAGGGAATAGCAAGGTGCTTATTTAGCTATGGTTGGTTTATATTGCATGCAACTTTTCAGTTATATATAAAAAATACTGTGAGACCGAAAGGAAAGCATCCCTTTGCTTCAGATGTGAGTATATGAAGTAAAAACACTCTGCCTTACCTGGAGTACAAGCTTGGTTGACACACACTCTCTCGAATTCTGTCCCCTTAGGACTGTCGTTGCAGTAAACTGATCAGACAGACGGTCTTTAAACCGTACTCTAGACGGCAGGCCTAACTGTCTCCTCTCATTTTCTGCTTCAAATGTATAGCTGATCTCTAAATGAAAGAATAAAGTAGGTCACTATAACAAAGAACTCTTGCCATATTAATAGTTTTCCAGGTACGATGTTACAATATTATGCTAGAAGACACTTTCATCCAGTTTTACAACTGTTTTCAGTTATTTACAAAACTTTCTTCATCTACCAGTTTTGTCCCTTTCCAGTTGAGCCAGATTCCTCTTTTTTTGGTCTGGGCTCCTCAAACAAATCCTCCTTTATCCCACAGTATCTCGTTGCTATGCCAGCATCCAGGGCTGGCAGCAGGGGCCAGCAGGGGGCTGAGATGCAAACCTTTGTAAATACTCCATCCCAGAGAGCCCTCATTTCTGGTTTGTTCCAATTCCTCCCTGAGCAGCTTGTGGGGTTTTGAGTTCCAGGCGCACTGCTGCTTTTGCCAGCGAGAAGTGCAACTAGAGGCAGGGCTGCTGAGCAGGGCACAGCCTGTGAGCATCGCTTCATCCCCTTCCTGTCGGCAGAGCGCCCTCAGCACTGGGACGCCGGAGCAGTGCCAGGCACACCAGGCCACTCGGCCGTGCCACACCAGTGCAGCAGCTGCCCCCAGGGCTGCCAGCACTGCAGCAGCACAGGGACCACAGCTGACTCTAGCATGTCCTACGGCTTTCGCCAGTACTCAAGAGACTCAGACTGCCCAGGAGACAGAGGTTTCAGCTTAAAATCTTCCCATCTTGTCTCAAAATCCTACAGAAGATTCTGATCTGCATTAGCAGCAGCATGCTGACAACTTAAGAGAAAAAAATAGATGACATTAAAAATGATACTTTACATTTTAAGTACATTTATGGTACAGTCTGCTAGGCACCTAGTAATTGAAAGATTTTTGATTTCAGTTACAAATTTCCACAAGGCTATTATCATGAGTACAGAATACTAGCTTATAAGCTAAGACTCCCATAAGGAAATAATGTTTATTGATGGAATATAAAGATATTTTTAGACCTATTTTCTATAGCAGCACTGACATGAAGAGTGTAAAATGATTCTCTCTGTGGCAGCCATTTGTTTACTGGTAAATACACCTAGAAAGCTTCAGGTTTTTTTTACCCACAGAAATTAGCTTAGTAACACACTAGAATTTGTTTACATGATCCTATACTTTTCTATAAAAACTGATACTGCGATAGCTGATTTTAAACTTGACACAGTTTTAAAGTCGTCACTGTAATTTAAGTACAGTTCCATGATAATCTCTAAAGAAAAAAAAATGACAAATAGATGAAAAACATTAATCTCAAAACTTACTTATTCCTGGATTTAAATTTCTAGGGTTTGCAGTATATTGAAAACATGCTTTCACATCCATCCTGTAAAAAGTGTCAAAAACTTAAAGTTAAGCAAGGCCCAACTGACTGAAAAGTTTTTATAGTCCACTGACTGATGTTAGGCGTCTTAACACTGTGGTACTCATGTTACAACAGTCTTTTACCGCCTACTAATCTGAGTTACAAAATAAGGAGCAAAATTTAGTCTATGATAGAAAAAAAAAATTCTTTTATTTGCTTTTACTTTTCTGCTTTCATGAGTAAGCCATTCAAGTTAAGATACTTTAGATGTTCAAATTTAAGAGGTCAGAGAGTTAAGTTCATTTAAGTGGCAGTGACATTCACTTTCAAATTGGAAATTGTGAATAGAATATATTCCACTACATATATATATACATATGCATCTATAGCACAGTTGTCACAGTAAATTTAAAAGGTCAAAATGATAACACGGATGTATTTGTTTGATTTGCTTGACTCATGTCCACTCACAATAACATCAGCACTAACGGAACAAATTTTGAAACAAAGCTTAAGACCGCCAACTCTTATATAAGATACAATGATTATAATTTTTGAAAATCTTACTGTATTTCGCTAGGTTCCTCAGAGGTCTTTTTCTTTAGATCAATTCTGTCAGGATTTACTGTAATGCTTTTCTTAATGCTTATAACAGGCCGAGATCTGAGGGAGGAGAGGCAGCATGTAAACAGGTAAAAATGAAATGAAAGTTTCTGTTAAAATTAATGAAATAATTCTTTTTGCCATTTATATCTGCACCAATTTGCCATCTTGCAGTTCATATAAATGCAGGGAGTGGCTCTGCAAATACTTAGAAGCAAAACACAGCAATTTAAGGTTATGCTAAGCAAGTCAGAAAAATAACTACACAATTGTGTATCTTAATACCTGATGGAAGAACAGAGGACATTAACATAATGTTGTGGTTGTCATTTCAGACACCCATTAAAACCCGAGGAATTCAAACCCACCCCAGTTGTAATGCAGCCCTGGGAGCAGGCCGTAGATGCTCAGGTCATTGGGGTTAGGAGCCTGGATGGCTGGGAGAAATGCCACTTCCATTTCCTGAGTCCTCTCCACACCTGAGCATCACTCATAATGCAGCCTCACAACGTTGCCTTCCTCTCTCTTTTGGAAGGGACAAAGAAAGACAGATGATATCAATGGATAAGCTAATGCTACTCTTGTGGAAGTACCTAAGGGTTGTTTTTAAACCTCATCCTTTTTTCTAAGCAAATTTCTTTTACTGGGTCATCCTTTTACGGTTCATCAACATAAACCTTTTCAGTTTCATTTTCTCTGTAGAGGTTCCTAATCAGCAAACAGCTAATGCTCCTTTTGAGTACTACCTGTGAAAAAAAAGTCCCCAGCTTCATCCCGATTCATCCCTAAGGCACATGCTAAGCAGTCTGAGGTTCCCTCAGGGCTGCTTTATGGACCTTGCTGGATCCTCAGCTAAAAAGAGCAGCCTCCTTTTTTTCTTCCACAAAGCAGAATTAGATTTATGTAACATCAACAAACAAAAGCTCTAGCTCAAAACAATTTATGGGAGCTTTTTCTCCCATAATTTCAAACCTTTGTAAGGAAGCATGTTCCCAGCAAACAGCTCTTTTGTTATTTCCAGGCAGCTTGTTTTTTTTTAAAAAAAGTGATGAAAATAACATATTGGTGCAATTAGTTACAGTCCTACCAAAAAAAAATACCTGAACACAGATACAGAATCTGAAAGAGAACCAACAGCAATGTCAGGGTAGGAATTTTTATCCAGGTCCATGTTTCCAGCAATAGAATAACCAAAGAAATTGGTGCCGGTTTTTTCACCATCAAGAATCTAAAGAACAAACAGATTGTTGGGATTAGGACATTCAAAAGTTGTAAAAATGAAATACTTACAAGTGATCTTCACTGTTTTATGCATTTAGGTAAATGACACTGAAGTGCCACGATCACTTGCTTTCCTTCTAAAAATTTCCTTTACAAGAGCAATGAGCCAGAAATTACTATTTTTTGTAGAAGTTTTGCCTAGCTTACCTGTATTTGCAGGGTTTATATTGCATAGGCACTTCAAACTACAGAAATAATTAAGTTCTTTTCCAAACTTGAAAACTCCCCAGAGTGGTCTTCTAAAAAAAAAAAAAATACAGCTTTATTTTCCCCCTGCCCCCACCCCAAAAACCCCAGGACATTCACATCTACCTGCCTTTTTGCTTCTCTGCATCTTAGTGGTATAAAGGCCTGCCCAGAAAGCCAGCTGCACAGGAATCCCTAATCTTAAAGGCCAGCAGTACACACTGATGAGTCCCCTAGCTTCTCTGCATACCCATTATCCCACTAACTGCAACGGAAAAAGCAAAGAAGGATAATCCTATCATGCCTACAGTATATTATAGTATCAAGACTACAGTAAAGATCGGTTATTTACCTGTGCTGGTTTTGTATTTATTCCGTTCTTGGATCCATGATAAATGTAAACTTTGCCAAAACCATCATATGGAGCCCCTACTGCAATATCTGTTGAAAATAAATTGAGATATCTAAAAGAATTCTCCCTTTTTTCAGCTTTCAATGTTGACAACTAATATGTTCCAAGTCTGATGTTAGCAAAAATGTCACATACATTCGTGTTTTAATTGTGCTTCACTCACCTGGAAAGCCATCCTGATTAATGTCCCCGATGTTTTCAACTGCAAGACCAAACATGGAGTCAGTGGTTCCATTTAAGCGGATAGGTTTTACCCCTTTCCATTTGCCTTGCTGGTTCATGTAAATATACACTGCACCACCAATATCTCCACTTCTGTCAAAATATTGTGGGGCTCCAACAACAATGTCTTGCCACCTTAAAATGAAAGAAAAGAAACACTGTATTTTGCACAGCTGTGAAAAATAACTGAAACTACTTGATAAGGACTACGGTCTCAAGGTCAACTAGCCAAACAGCTGCTACAAATCATTAAAAAGTACATAAAACCGACTCAGTCACAGGAACTTACAACAGCTCTATTGACATTAGAAGCTGATTATTCTGTCTTTGAGGCATGTAAGAATCTTCCTGTTTTTTTCTTTGGATATAAAATTTGTTTCTTGGTACTTTGTTTATATCAACTTTTTAAGTTAAAAAACCCTCTCGCTATTAATTGTTTATAGACATTTTGCATCTAAGATCCCTAAAGTAAATCAATAATCCTTGCAGTTAAAATGGAGAGTGTCCTGCCTCATTCTCCAAGATGTTCACCCTTTCCTCCAGCAAAACATGGGAGATGGGACTTGGCACTCCTTGTATTTCTAATGTGAAAACCAAAGCAATCTTTCTTTACAGAGGCAGCACGAGTTAACCAAGGGCCATACCCATCACTGTTGAGGTCCACAACAGCAACATCATAACCGAAAGAAGAGGCCAGCCCTTCTCCTTCAAACATGTGCTCCAGGGAAAGGGCTCTCTGATCTTTCTTTTTCAGGAGAACGACTGCCCCACTGTGGTTGGCTCTTGGCGCACCCGACACAAAAGTCATCTCATCTTGGGAGACTATTCCTTTACCAGAGTCCAAAGAGAAACCTTTAGAAGAGGGAAAAAAATGTAAATAAAGGCTTATATTGTTAACAGCAAAAATAAATTCCCCTACTATATTGAAGTGGTACATTGGATACGAGTTTTCTCTCAAACAAGACTGTACTGCTACATATAAATATTTTCCACACAAATTATATTGCTAACAGTTTCCTGCTCACTCAGTTCTATCTTTTGCAGACATCAAGTACAAGATTTTATATATTTTTTAAACATACCAGCTTAGAAATGACTAAGCTTACCACTTTAATATAGCTCGAGTACTTCAGCTGACAAATTATAAGAATTTGTTAAATGTCATTCTATTAAGCATGCAACACATACTGTACAAGCATAGTATTTTATGTTAATGATGTAGGCAGTATTTGAGAATCACCTTATACAGTAATGGTGAAACTGACAGTTTTTATTTAATGTACCTTTAAAGAAAGTTCAAATGAATTTATTAAGTATTCTTTATAAAAGTTAATAGATTAAAAAATCCTTGAAACAGTGCATTAGAAGCAAATATTGTGTAAACTAAAATTTCCAGTAAAACCCAAAGTAAGAAATTACATATAATGTAAGGAAGGGAATTACTGGACGGGACAGTAATCTGAAACACTTCACCACTACCATTCAAATTCTCAATTACAGCAGTTCACAATGAAACAGAGTTTCAGAAAAATTCAGTAAGAATTCAGTAAGAACTCCAATTTGGGGGCAGAGAAGAGGGTCGGAGAGATGCGTCACAATTCAGTGCTTTTCCAAACGCATCTTATGTTGCAAGTTACTCTTCCTCTGAAGCCCTGTTGTGACATGCTTTTACTTGCAATGTGTTTGAAAAGAAGGGTGGGCTGAAATGGCATGTCAGAGGCCTGGAGCTGATGCCTGAGCAGGTGCTGCCCACAAACCTAGGTAGCTATTCATCATTACATCCATCGCTCTGTCCACCCGCACGCGGGGAGGCAATGTTTTGTACACAAACTGATCTGGGTGACTGTCAGACACAGCTGTCAGAAATAGAAGACCTGTAAACACATGAGTGAGAGATTAAAGAGAAAAAAACACAGTAGTTCGGCAAAGTAACTAGCTGTGCATATCTTTCCTGCCTGACAGTAGGCAGCAGCAATGGCAGTGAACACCCAGCTTGCACAGAAGCAGTTCATACTGTAATAAATCCAATGAGGGCCTTCATGTTTAGGAGATTTTATATATTTTGAAATAAACATTACATTTATTATGAGATTGCAGTGTAAAAATAGTCTCGCTCTGTTCACAGTAAAAGACAACTCCTTCCACAGCACTCTTCTCTCTACTGTTTCTCTCTCACTAGAAAAGGCTAGGAGCCTGTAACATACCTTTTTATGATTTTTTTCCACTAGTAATTACTTCTCATATTTAACTGCAATTTATGCTCTGTTCTGTTTCTTCTAACAAATAGCCAACTGGTTCTCTTTTCAAATTGTTTTTTTTTTCTTTAATATTAGCAATGCATTTCCCAGCCGTTCAACTTTCCATCACTAACATCTAAATTCCAGTTATACACTACCAACAAACTATTTGTTGCAGATGCCTGTTGATGCACTGGATCAATATACCACAGCATTCTGCACTAGAGCAGAAAGGTGCGATCGCTTTACACTCTGGGTCTCCTTAAAAATGCAGCAAAGCTTTTTCTCTGCACCAGCTTACTCAGCTTGCTGACCTACAATGATAGCCATTAGGCTAAGGACATCTTGCCTTCATGTTTGCAGAAAGCACGAGACTCTCCTCGCTCAACACACACATGCACACATAAACACTTCTCACATTGCAGTATTCTAAAAGACACCTAAATCGAAACATTGCATGTGATTTAAGACAGCCTGCGAAAAGGCCACTGATGTTTTAAAAACCCTAGAAGATAAAAAAGATTGAACTCACCGAGAAGGAAAGAAAAATTGCACTCTTTAACAGCCAGCAACTCGAGAGTTTCATAAATGTGGTGATCCTGCATGGCAAAGACCTTGTGCCTGAGGTCTACAGATCTGCAGACAGTACTTACCACTGGAGCCACTGCAGTCACTCCCTGAGAATACCTGGGTCCTGACCACGGCTCTTGAACATCTCATTAACGTTAGCAGCTCTCACCATCTTACACTAGCCCATAAACTGGAGGGAGGATGTGAACTGCCCAGAATAGGTAATATTTTGCAGGGTTCATAAATGAAAATTTTACTCCCGTTTCATATTATTGCACAACACTGAGATCACAGATGTTTAAGAAGCCTATACAGATTTACCATGTGCTTAATCCTACCTAAATAACTGTTAGCTGGAACAGGAACTAGATTCTTATCTTGGAGATTCTCATCACCAACTTCATAAGGCCCATCATCAAAGATACCCAGATCATAAAATGTCTGATTCTTTTGCTCTGCACGAACCATCCCTAAAGAAATGAAATGATAAAATAAAAACAAATGAATGGCAAAGAAAAAAAAATGATAAATGGTTCCTGGCTAATATTACAATAAACGAGATAGCAATAGTTATTTAAGTGGAGACAAATGTAGAATAGCACACAGGAAGAAATAATTTTGAAAAGATAATGAATTTGTAAGTTCTAGCTGCGTGCCAGAATCTCATGATATTTCACACAGACACCATGCAACAAGTGGAAAAATATAGGATATGAACAAAATTCTCAAAAGCACCAACAAGCTTGGTCATCATCCTTCCACATATCTCAGTCTCATATAGGCTCTCTTAAAAGGGAGGTAAATGCCTAAGATTACAAAAAAGGAAATCATATAATAGCTGTTCAATTAGGATGAGCACTTGTGATGTATTTATGAAAACATTACGTAAGGGCAAAAGAGTGATAGCTCAATATAGTGGGTGCTTCCCTTTTATTGACAGGCATATTTAACAATTTGGTGAGCACGAACACGGTCTTCCATGATATGAAAGAGTGCTCCTATGACTGATAGACTGACATATCAGTTCTCTGCAATTAAGGTAAAGCAGTAACTCCCAACTCAATATGCTGTTTCAGCTTGGTCAGATTTTGTTGACAGAAACAGAGAGGTGGAAGATTAAGTTTTCACAAAAATACACGTTGTGCCAGAGCTTAACTTAAAGATTTTTCATGGTTCATATGGCAGATGCGGGTTTTTGAAGGAAAAAAATGTTAATGGGTCAAGGATCAGATGTTCTAAAGAGAAGGAGAGAAGTATTTCCAGTTGTTGGTGTAATGAAGTGCAAATGGAAAAAAAAAAAAAAAAAAACACTTTAAAGAAGAGAGAGACAGCCCTGTCCATTTAGTTGCTTTTTCACTGGTATAAACCAGTGAAGAATTTTTTTTTTTCTCCCCTTAGGTTTTGGAGTATCTCCTACATGATACAAGAGTCCTTGTGGCTTTTACTGAGATGAACTATTCATGGAATTTTCCTCAAGTAAAAACTTATTTTTTAATTAAATAAATAAATTCAGTTAGCTTTAAATCCTCCAGCATTTGATTTGGGAAATATTACTTTCCACATATTTCTATTAAAAGATAAACAGAGATGTCAGTGCAGGTATTTAACATTTGCTCAAATGATAATAAGTTGGTCAAATTATTTTAGAATAATTCAATAACTTGTTCCAGGGTAAAAGTCTCAGAACAAATACATGAAATTAAGACTAATATGAGAAAAAAATATATAGATATGTGCAAAGTCCTGTTAACCATTCATAAGTAGTCCCCTCAAAAAATATTTAAGAGAATTTCACTAAATATTTGTGATATAACAGCAGTGTGTGTTGTGAAAATAGGGTATAATGTCCCCCATTAGATCCCCATTATGTTTATTTCCAAAAAACTTTTTTAGAAACTTGGATGCCACATTTGAGACAAATCTAGGAGATTGGGGAGGGAGGTTCACGGGTTGGCAGGATGGCAGACAGGTCCTACCTTTCCAGTTGTAAGTGCCTGGGGCCCCAAACACAATATAATGATAGTCCTTGGTGAAAGTAGCAGCAACGCCCTGCTGGCAGGAACCAAACTCCTCATGGCCTCTTCGGCGGCCCTCACAGAAACTCCACGCCCCGTGCTCCAAGTCATCCGTTATGGTGAGATCCTGGCTCAGCACATAGCATCTCCCGATGATGTCCCGAGTCTCCTCCATTGTGTTCACCAACTGCCTTTTCTCATAGCGATGGGCACAAGTCTGCAACGCAGAAGAGACATTAGGGAGGCTGTCTGGAGGCTGCATGCAAGTCAGCAAAGCAGACGGCTGGCCTCCTTAAGTAATGCTTTGTGCTGGCAATACTGTAAGTCTCCCTGTGGCCATATCTGGGGTGCAATGCAGAGCCTTTTATACCCTATGGGATATGTGTAGGAATAGTTAGGCATCTATGAAAACAATTAACAGCAACCAATTTTCTGGATTTCAGGGTTCTTTCTGTCTGCCCTTTCTCCCCTCTTGCTGTGAGTTTTGACAGACGGAGCAAGTCATTAACCCGAAGTAACTCCAGAGATACCCTGAAGTGACCTGCATCCAATCCTGGAAGCAACGAGCTTCAAAGGGACAACCTGCAAGACTACAATTACAAAGGGAAGCTCCACTGCACACCCTTTTCATGATAAAGCTGGCAGCCTGTGACACCATGAGAGGCAAATTTAATTCAGAAAGAGCTCTTAACCTAAGAGATAGATGGTAACATTCTCTGGTAACTCCTGAAAGCTTCTTCTCTCCATATAGTATGAAATAACAATTTGCATCAAGTTCTCAGTACAAGGTCTTACTGTATCATGCTTTTCCTCCGAAGGCCCAGCACAACAGCCACACTACATTACTGTACAGGACCAACTCAGCCAAAGTCTGTGGTGGCTGACATTAGTCTGACACTTTTAAAAATCTTATTACACTCTTTTCCCCTATCATCGTAGAAAATGGTATTTTTAAATCCAATGTGTACGTTACAAATATAAAATGTGTATAAAAAGAAAATAACTGCACATTCTAGTCTGATACCAAGATTATAAAGACAGGCAAGTATATTAAAAATTATAATCACAGGTGTCTCATTTTGCTAGGGAAACCGTTCGGTTTTTATTTATAAGAAACTGCAATCCATCCTTAAAAAAGCAGCTATCTTTCAGAAAGCTGGGTAGAAACAAAGAACATTCAGAACATTTACTGTAAGCCCAAACTACTTTTGTAAATTAGTCCTACAGACTTACCACCACGTTTCCTCCTGGCCCCTGACTTTGGACAGTTACACCCATCCATTGGTCTTCTTTGCTCTCCTTCCTTGGATCAGCTGCAGAATGTCACAATTTAGCTTCAAATATCAACAATTAACTTTTATTTATTTATTTATTTATTAAGTCTGTGAGGACAGCAGCTTCATACCATACACAAAACAGTCTGTAGGTGGCGGTGCCTACATACTTTACGATTGCCAAGAGTCCTTTTATAAAACATTTCTAGCACGTTACTTTATGTCACATCATTAGCTTATTAAAGAATGTAGGAGCATTCAAATCTATCAAGATTTGAGCATCTCATGTTACCTTAGAAATCAACTACTATTTGTTGAAATGCAAAAAAAGGGGAAAAAAAAAGTTTTATATGAATTCATAAAAGTAACTGACTGATTTACTGTGGAAAGGACCACACCAGACGAGAAAAATCAGACATCCATTTGAATCCAAAACAAAAGCACTGAAAAACACTTACTGCCTTCATCAAATACAACCCGTGTGCAGCGGGAACTCGCAGTCGTAATGTCACAGCTGTACAGGCCTCCCGTTCGGTTGGCTTGTTGGGACGGAAAAGCCTTTTCTCGAGGGGCTCCAACCAGCAATCTGTTGGGAAAGAAAAATAATTTCAAGGGACTTTCAAAGGTGATTGAAAACAGAAAACAACAACACGAGAGGACATTCTGATCATATTGCTAAAGATCTGATAGGCAAGCATTTGAAGGATGAATAGCACATCATGGCCCCATTCTTCTTTAAAAGAAAAATAAACAAACTTTCTCCTCCAAAATCTGTCTTCATTAAAGCAGCACTAGAGGGGCGCACACCTTCAAACGTGACTATCTGGCAGTTCTGCAGAAACTATCCCTCCACCACAGCCTCCAGTGTTTGAGGAAGAGGGGGCTGGGGAGGATCGCCTTACATCCTTGGCAAGAGGGGAGAAAGTATGTCTGCTATCCTGACTCAAAACTACTACAACACTGAATTCACCTGCTTTCAGACTCTCTTCTGGTTTTACATCATCCCGTGCCATCATCTGGCTGAATTTTGAGACACCTTCAACACCTCCTCCTCGGCCAAGCACGTTTCAGATCCTTGAACTGCTGCCGACCTTGGGCAAACTCTCACCCCACTCTGCTCCTTTGCCCAAAGAGCCTTTCCAAAGCTGCAGGGTGCACTCTCCAGCAAAGCTCTCAAAGATGAGCCGTTCCCATGGGCAGTTTTGTTCCCCCTCACACGCATCCCTGTGAGCAATCCACATACTGCTCTGGTAGTGATGTGTAGGTTCATATTTTGAGTCCTGAATAAAGCAAGTTTTTCTCTCACCTCAGCTCTACCCTCCGAGTATTACCACAAGATCACTCAGAGACATATTCACTGGCTAAACAAGGTTTTTCAAGAAAACAGAAACCTGGGTATGTTTTCCCAGCTGTCACCCCCCTGCAAAGCACAGACCCAGGGAGATTGCTAGCTGAAATCAGGGACCTGCAGCGAGTGCCCTTTGTGGAGGACAAGGAAGCCTGAGCATGTGGTTGAGCAGGGGAAAGAGCCCGGTGCAGCACAGCACATGTGCCAAGGGCACCTTAGCAGGAGTCCGCGCACCTCCGTGCAACGAGCACTGCTGGAAAGCAGAGCTCTCCGGCGCAGCCGTGCGGGGAATCCGGCTGGGTCCCCAGGGCCGCCCAGGAGGACTCGGGCTCTCTGTAAGGCTTCAGCTGCAGCAGCACCCTCAGGAACGGAGGCTTTGCCACAAGTTGCTCCCATGCAGCCTCCCAAAACACACTTATGAACTTATCAAGCGCAGAACTCACTTTTGTTCATATCTAACATACAGCAGCTTGATCACTTAAGCTTAATACATGGATTTCCACTATTAAGCAAATTATTACTTGAGATCAATTCCATATGAGTGGAAATGACTATGATCTATTATGAAAAAATACAATTTGAAAGAGAAAAGTGTGTTGTGAAGAAAAAAGAAAAAAAAAAAAAAGAGTTTTCACTGATTTTGTATAAATAAATTCTTCAAAAATCCACAATGTGACCTGCTGAGAAATACAGTCTTTGGCAAAACATTTGCGTTTGATTGATCCTTACATAAAACGTGGTGTGTTCTGCCCCAAATCTTACCTTCTCTTGTTACCTTCTCTTCCCCGGGCATTTCATTCACTGCTCCCCTCAGGAAAGCAGCAGTCATCACAAGAGCTGCTAACCCAAACAGCCTGGCTTTTAGAAAGGCCATTAATAACTTGACTTGCTAATTCTAGCAAGAGGGCATTTAATGCCTTTCTTTGAGGAGTGTTTCTTTCTCCCCCCCCAAGCCCCCCCAAAAAAAGCAGTTTCTGAGCTAATTCTAGTATGGGAATAGGAATAGGGTTTTCTCCTCAGTTCTGTTATCCTCCAGGAAAAGACAGATTAGATTTTTTTTAATATTTGCAGCAAGGCATTTTAAAAAGCAGAGGCACTGATTTCCTAACTCATAAAGGTTTCCTTGGCCAAGGAGAAGGTTTCAACTTTTTCATCCAAAGCTTGGAAAAAAATAAGTGAACTTGAAGAAATGCTTCAATTCTGTAAGACAGAATGTCAAAACAAAAGATTTCTGATCAGATTTTTGTTAGAGAAATTCAGTGATTCCAGATCACCACCTGTCGGTGTACGGCTGCCTGAAATGGTGCCAGATCAAGAAAAATACGACCCTCTTCCCTTCTACGGGATAGCTAGATTATAGTCTCTCCCCGGCTAAATTATATCTTTTATGACACACCATGATGATGTGCCCATAATCATGATTCAGCCAGAGGGAAGACCCACTGAGGCATCAAGGAGTAAGCAGCTTAGCCAACAGCAGCAAATGAAAAGATGTCTCACTTGATCTAAAATTCCCCCAACACGCTATGACATCTCAGACAGAGGATGTAAGGACAAACAGATGAAAAACGCAATGGATCAGCCTGCTAAGGAAAAGTTTCAGTTAGAGTAAACATGATCTCAGAAGAAATATTTTACCTTAGGTATTTCCCAGACCATATCTCAATTTTTCCTAAATTCCTTTTCATTGAGGGGGAAAAAAAAAAAAAAGTATTTTGAAGCAGACTTATATAAAATCCTCCAATCTTCAAAAAAGTTTCATCAGAAGTTCTGTCATTAGTCCTCGAGGCTCATGAAAACCTGTAGAGTCCTGCTAGGTTCACTGTTGCTGGACAATGCTGCAAGTCTCTCTGCACACACAGGACAATCAAGCTTTCGGACGTGCTCTGAACAGGCCCTTGTAAGGGATTAAATCCATTCAGATCGACGCAATGGTACATACTGAAATGCATTTTCAAGCCAAAGACGTAATAAAACAGGAGGAGCCCACCTACATTGCTTTGCTACCTATCTGCCTGAAACGTCACAACAGAGTAGACTAAACTGTCGCTCCCAAATTCTGCCAGACAGATTACTAAAGGAGATGAGGATTAACACTATTAGGAAATGTGAGCAAGAAAGTCACGTGCATCTAATCTTTGACTGAACAAATCATGTGAAACAACACTATGAGAGTCACAGTGTGCTTGATGGGGACTGTTACTAGTCTACTTGCCTGCCTGCTGTTCAGAGAGGCATGCTTGAAAAAAATCAAAGCTCTATTACAGACACTAAATTATTTATTTAAAAATGAAAACGTGGTAATGAGAAAGTGTGCATGAGGCCTAGGATGCATGACACAAGATCACGCACCAGGGAGAATTTCAGCATGACTGAAGCAGTCCCAATCCATCGGATTGTGCGCAGCCTGAAAACACTGGGCTGCCTGCTCTGCAGAGACTTGCAAGCTAAAGACACATTCCAGTCATTATCTCATGGCTACTTATTCTGTTGAGCTTTAATAAGGGAAATTTAATAGAGTTTGAGCTCATTAGGAGAAAAATAAATAAAACAAACACAGCCAAGGTAATTCTGTTTGCAGCTACATGCATTCCAGTTCAGCATTTTCAATGGCAAGCAAAATCTCCTTCTGCAAAGGAAGGAGATAACGCGAAGGAAGTGCTGAGCTAGATATCAGTATCTACTTATATTAGCACATGAAACACAGAGAATAAAAGTGAAAGACCTTCCTTTGAAAACGAGGACTGACAAAATCTAAGTTCTTCATTTTTTCCTTCTGATTTTGTTACGATTAATTTATTTATTGTGGCTTCATCTTTAAGGTGTGTGAAGGCTATAGCCAGGGCTTTCTGCCTGCCCAAAGCCAGGCTCCACGATCTGTATGGCAGCTACACCAAACCCACGCCCTGCTGCCCAGTACACTCCGCTGGAGGCAAGAACCTCACTCTCCAGCATGGGGACATTTTACTGACTTCGACACATTGTGTTACCACGCAGATAGCAGAAGCTCTGCCATACAATATGCCAATATGAACCGATCTGAGCACTAGTTGCTGATGGAGCCTTAAGATTTTACAATTTTTAAAAACCTGTTTTTCCCCATTCATTTTGCTTAAATACAAACTGTGAACTGACAGCATTTCCCCTGAGCCCATCAGACTGCACAGGTGTTAAAGGCACTTCTGTTAGTAGTTTCTTCTGTTACCCTCAATAAAAATGCGATTTCCATAAATCAAAAGAAACATCTACTAAGTGATAAAAAAGTGAATTGTCTCACATGCTGGCACAAAGCTACAATGCTCTTTGCTTTCATTCACACCCTATAATTAAAGCATGTGCTTTCCACTTTCAAACTAAAATTCCAATATCAAACCAAACACATCAGTCATGCTGCTCTGTTGGTTAGAACTATGTTAAGTACTGCTTTCTCTTAACTACTTTTTGGACCTGGGGGATAATGACTGAAGTTCCACCAACAATTACTGAGCACCTGACAGCTTCTAGGACAGATTTACTCCATTACGACCCCAGATTCATGGCCATATTTCAGGTAATCCTACAGACACAGGTTAACTGCAGGCCTGTGCATAATGCCAATCTAACTGACACAGAGAAACACCTGCAGCACAGGTGGTTGGGTCCTGCTGCCCCAGCCTCCTCGGGGTGTCGCCCAGCCCCGCTTACCCCAGTATTCCCTGCAAGAGCAGGACACAGTGAACACTGAGCCCCCTCCAGACCAGAACACAGCTCTCCCTGGTCCAATTCCTTGCTGTCATCTCAAAGGAAAGGGCTGAGGTAAGAAACACTTAACCCCATGAATTATGTCAACATTATTCGATCCTCCAAAGAGACATCAAAATTCTTATTGACTTCATCTAACACTGGAGGAGATCTTTGGCTAAGTGTATGCTTAAAGAAAGCATGCTTTATACCCACCCACGTGTTCTGAAGAAGAGCAAGGAGGTAGGAACAAGGTACTGAGACATAATCAGGCAGCCCTCGTGCCTCAGTTTGGTGACCTGTACTGACCTGTACTCAGCAACAGCAATCACACAAAGATGAAAAGCTGCAACATTAAATCAGTAGTAGCCCAACACTGTTCTTAAAATCCAACAAAAATACACTACAAATAGCTTTCTCGCTTTACAAATAATAAATATTAAGCAAAAAACTGCTGATTTAAAACCCTCTCTGCTTTCATTGATAATACTTGAGACATTTAATAGGCAGCTG